AAGATGGATGGATGGATGATATGATGGAATGGATGATGAATGGATGGATAGACAGACAGACAAACAGACAGAACAGACAGACAGACAGATAGATAGATAATAGATAGATAGATAAGATAGATAGATAGATAGATAGATAGATAGATAGATAGATCGATAGACAGACATGACAGAGGGATAGATAGATAGATAGATAGATAGATAGATAGATAAGATAGAGTATATAGATATCATAGCATACGATAGATTAGATAGATAGATAGATAGCATACGATAGATAGATTAGATAGATAGATAGATAGATAGATAGATAGATAGGATAGATAGAGTAATTAGCATAGATAGTTAGATAGATAGAATAGATAGATAGATAGATGGATGGCATGTGAGAGATGGATGGATATATTATATAGATGTAGATATAGATAATTTACTCCGATTTTTAGTTAAAGGCGATAGAAAGAGCAGGCATACATTATATATAATGATGAGGTAGCGCATTTTTACCTCTGGGTTATCTGCTGCTGTATTCATATTGAAAATATAAAAAATATATTCCAAATCAGCTAGACCTCACTATAAAATGTGGGAAAAAGCCTTGCATTTAAGGTCTCTGCTTCCATATACCCAGCGAGTATGACAATCTGGGCCTACGTTAGGAGTTAGCGCAAGGGCCCAATATCTCACCAGCGGAGTTATATTTTCAATGAATATGCCATTTAAGATGGTCAGGGTATCTCAGCTTCGTTTTTGCCAATATTCTTATTAGTAGATCTGTGTTCATAATCAGGCGAGAGCGCCCTGCAGGTAGGTGCAAAACTACTACTCCATCACCGCCCGCCTTTCCCTTGTCTCCCTTGTCGCACGCTCAGTCTCCTTTTTTCTTCCACCGCGCTCGGCTGTCTTCCCTGCCACCTTCTCTCAGTCTCCCAACCCTCTCTCCCGCAGCCAAACTATATTACGCTACTTTTAATTTAGACCGCACTGCACGTCTGAAACGGTGCGTCGCGCATGCGCCAATATCTCCGAGAAGAAAAATATTTTGCCAAAATTATTAACTTTTAAAATTGAAGAGGGCGTTATACTCAAGCATAGATTTCTATAATAATATTCCATCAGATTGACCTCAACTTATGAAATAGGAAGCACACCTTGCATGTAAGGTCGGCCTGCATATACCAGTCACTACTTAATGCTGGCTACGTTACTGTTGGCGCAGTGCGCAATATCTCAGCAGAGGAGCTATATTTTTGCGAAAATGCAATTAAATATGCGGTCAGCGGCGGTATCTCAGCCATAGGTTTCTGCTAATAAATTATTATCAGTAGACTTGCTGTTTATAATTAGGAGGGCGCTGCCTAAGCCAATAGGGTAGCAAAACTACTACTTCATCCCCGCCCGCCTCTTCCCTTTGTCTCCCTGTCGACGCTCAGCTCCTTCTTCTTCCACCGCCCTCGCTGTCTTTTCTGACACCTTCCCTCAGTTTCCCACCACTCTCTTCCCCAGCAACTGATTATTAGTACTTTTATTAGGTTCGTACTGCCACGTCCAGAAACGCGATGCTCGCGCATCAGCGCCCAATAACTCCCAAGAAGGAAGAATATTTTCGTGCCAAAATTATAAATTCAAAATGAAAGAAGGGTTATCACCAGCATAGATGTTCTATGATAATATTCCATCAGTATACTCGCTATGAAATATGAAGCAGACCTTAATTGGCATGTAAGGTTCTCCGCCCTGCATAAAACTCAGTCAGTACACAATCTGGCTACGTTACTGTTTTAGCGCATGGCGCAATATCTCACCAGAGAAGGAGTATATTTTGTGCCTGAAAATGCCATTTAATATGGTCAGGACGGTATCTCAGCATAGGTTCTGCAATGAAATTTTACCAGAGACATGTGCTTTCAGAATAGCGAGCAGCGCCGAGTCCACCGGCGACGAACGGCACGACGTCGGCAATGATCGCACGGCCTCGGCACACCGACCTCTCTGTATGCCAACCGTCTCGATGACGTCACGTCTAACCTTTAGTGCTACTTGCCGTTGGTGGTTGACTACCTGCAATTTTCCAAACGTCCGCCATTCCGCATGATTCATGTACGATCCAGCAAGCCGTAGCAAGCGGGGTGAACAGAAGAAGGGCGGGGAAGTTGTTACCAAATGAAATGTAGATACTTCATGTGATAATGGCGCCGTTACCTTTATCCAGAACACCAACCGCTTATGTCGGTTTTGCTTTTGCCAGAATGCTGCGTAGCTACGCCCCTGTCGCACTTGTCACTTGACTATGCTCCGCGGTACAGCCTGCTGTTCACAGGCGCTTTGAACGTTTCAATAATAAACATTTAAGGTGGAATAAGTATAGACTCTAATTTGGTTGAGAATGAGGAAGGTCTATAGTATGTGGACGACGTGATGAGGCTACAGAAGAGAAGAGGGATAGTGTAAAGGAGCCATTGAGGAGAGAAGGCAGAAAGGAAGAGCAGGGGAGGAGGTGAAGGCATGATGAATTTAAGTAGAGAAATGGGAGGGGGGGTTGAGATGGCCGACTGTATTTGTTTCTAGTTAGAAAGATTCTCGAAATTTTCCTACTTTCCTTTATGCTGTCCAATGTTCGCGCCATACTACTCCTATAACTATGATATATATAGTATATATATATATAGCGTATATTATATTATATTATATATATATATTAGAGAGAGAGAGAGAGAGAGAGAGAGAGAGAGAGAGAGATCAGAAAGATAGCATAGCTAGATAGTAGCTAAGAATAGACAGATAGAATATTGACTTACTCGCATACGCAACTCTGCGGCGAATACCGCGCAAGAAAATATGCGCAGATGTGAATACGTTTGCACGCGGGAGAAATACACGCGGGTCAACCATCAGCGAGTCGCAAGGCACATTTATATGCACATAGCGGCATTTTCCGTCGCCGCGGTTAAAATAATACGAAGATTGAATACGCTGCTGCATGCGCGATATGCGTTTTATTGTTGCCTGCGCGATGACATATCGCGCAGTATTGTGTCACATTTCACCGGTATATTATATAGCTGTCTGCGCGGTGCCACATCTGCGTTACCGCTAGCGCGTTCTCACCGTTCGATAGACGCGCCGCGGAGTTGCCCCCTCTGTTACAGCACGGTGCCTTTGCCTCAAAACGACTAATTGTACAGAATTATTCGCATCGTGTTGATGACATCAAGTCTGCCAGGCACGCTCACTCTGGCCCGTCCAGTAATAAGCTATTTTGGAAAACCATGTTCAAGAAGGGCGCTAACCTCCTAACGTCTCCAAACACCGTTCCGTTTATTGCTCGGACATATACGGAAGCAGATCCTTAAATACAGTTGCTGACAGATACTTCAAGTATGTAACCGCAGTGGTGATGGCGATAGCGCATTTATATTTCTATGTTTCTGATAACTAAAGTAAAGCTGAGCGCCACGGCAATTGCCAAATGTAATCGAGTAGTACTACATGCGGATCGGCCTGAATCGATCGTGAATTGATCGGCTACTATCATCATGGTATGGCCGAGGATCTCGATACACTGGAGGCGAGGGATGACGATATTATAAACATTCGTCGCTCTAACACAAGCGGCATACACCCACATGGCATCGCACGCACTACACACGGCACCTATATATATATGAATATATATAATATATCATATTATATGGCGCCAAATGGACTTTCTTTCTTCCTCGCTCCCGTTTCTGCGTATCTGTCTTTCTTATCTATCTATCTATTATCTATCTATCTGTCTATCTAGTCTAGTCTATCTATCTATCTATCTATCTATCTATCCATCTATCTATTCTACTATCTATTCTAATCTATCTATCATATTCTATCTATCTAAATCTATCTATCTATCTATCTATCTTATCTATCTTATCTATCTATCTTATCTAGTCTATCTATCTATCTATCTATCTAATCTATCTATCTAATCTATTATAAATATATAATAATGATCCGAGTATATATATATGTATATATACGCCGCGCGTGTGTGTCTCTGTGTGTATGTACGTGTGCGTGCGCGTGCTGTGTTGGAGTGTGCTGTCTGCGTGATTCGTCTTCTCGTTAGCAAGTTCTAGACGTCCGCCCTTGCCGAAAATCCTCGGTGTGCGTTCGCATGTGCTCTGCACATGTTGAAACTCTCTTCGTTCTCTCTTTACCCCCCACCTCCTCTCCCTCTCTTTCTGCTTTCCCTATCGCTCTCTCTCACGGTCTCACACATACTCTCTTTTTCAACTCTTTCTCGTTTCTCGGCTTTCTTCCTCTTAGATCTCGCTATCCCTCTCTTTATGGCCTCTTCCCGGCCTCCCCTTTCTGCCTCTTCTTCTCGCGCACTATCCCCCACTCGCGCTATGTATCGTTCTTGCTTTCTCTCTCTCTATCTCTCGCTCTATCTCTATCTGTCTATCTATATCTATATCCAGCCATCCATTCATCAATCCTTCTATCTATCCATGCATCCGTCCACCTATCCATACATCCATCCATCCATCTGTGTCTCTCTCTCTCCCTTTCTCTCTCTCTCTCTCTCTCTCTCTCTCTCTCTCTCTCTCTCTCTCTCTCTCTCTCTCTCTCTCTCTCTCTCTCTCTCTCTCTCTCTCTCTCGCTCTCTCACGCACGCCTGTACGCGGTCACAGGTTTCGTGTTATTTTCTTGCTTTCCAAATGCGAGATTAGTATGTATATGAGATGCGGCTTGTCACGCAATAAACTATATAACAATAAACCTAACTCCACACCATGGCGCTCGACGTCAGGCGGCCCTGACGAATTAGCGATCTGACCGACGGTCATGTCACGCCTGCTGGTTTTATTAGCTCCATTTGGTCTCCATCGCGCACAAGCTCCATTTTCAATATTCTTATTTATTCTTATAAGACCTATATTCTCTATCATGACATATATTCTCGCTATATAAAGCGAAAAAGTCCAAGATAGGCACACTTCAGACAGCAGCATCATAGAGAAATCATACTTCAGATACAGACCCACGAACGAAGTCTTCGTTGTAACTGTGACAGCGCGCAGAGCCACCTAGCGGATTTCCGGCACACCGTGAGTAATTTCGTTTCACGTCATGTATCGATCAGTGCCGATGTTGTTTAGCTGGATATTTCTCTTGATTTGTTTGGTTTACTAAGACAATAGGAGTATTTTAAATCGTGACGCCCCATGTTTATTTCTCAACATGATAGCATTCCTAATTTGTTGATCGGTGCAACTATGTGACATACGAGGCGGGATTATGTGACACGAACTTGTAATTACACGTGTTTGAGCGATGAAGCTAGTAACATATTAACCTTGAGCGGAATATATGTTATATACAGTATTATGTTTTTGTATAGAAGAGCCCGCGTGTATAGGCATTCTAACTCTGCAGACACAATTGTGTAGAGGTCATATATACGACAGCAACATTTCACGTGGCAATACGACCATGAAAATGACGTCCATGGCTACATTATCTGCCTTCCTGGCTATCTTTCTGGTAAGTTGGTTGGTTTGGTAAGTGATTCGAAACTTTCCTAAATAGCCTTTTTTGAATGCCCGTGCGTGCCTGCGTACACATGTGCATACGTACGTGTATGGCAAGCCATTTGTATCATAATTCGAGAAACCACGGTTCCTCGCACGAAACCAGGTTTCGTGCTCACAAAACCTAGTTTCTTGCTCAAGAAACCAGGGTTCTTGCCATGAAACTAGGTTTCGTGGCACGAAACCTGGTTTCTAGCCCTATAACCGCAGTTATAGCTGGAATCTTAGTTTCGTGAGCAAGAAACTAGGTTTTGGGAGCAAGAACCTAGGTTTCAGCAAGAAACCCACTTTCAACCGCGCCATTTGTATCATAATTCGAGAAACCATAGTTTCGAGCGACGAAACCAGGTTTCGTGCTCACAAAACCAGGTTTCTTGCCATGAAACTAGGTTTCATGGCATGAAACCTGGTTTCTAGCCCTATAACCGCAGTTATAGCTGGAATCTTAGTTTCTTGAGCAAGAAACTAGGTTTTGGGAGCAAGAAACCCACTTTCAACCGCGCCATTTGTATCATAATTCGAGAAACCATAGTTTCGAGCGACGAAACCTAGTTTCGAGCGACGAAACCTAGTTTCGAGCGACGAAACCTAGTTTCGAGCGACGAAACCTAGTTTCGAGCGACGAAACCTAGTTTCGTCGTTGCTAAGGCCCGTATCTAGGATTCGTAATCCCGAGCGTGACGTCAGCGTAGTTCAGCCACTCGGGGCCACTGCTCACTTGGGACAGAGTCAGTAAAAACTGAAAACAATATGAACGCACATTCACAAATCGTACCCCTCTGCTCCACTGTTGCGACACTGTATATCAACTTTCCTTCATAAAAACCTATGTAAAAACTAACGCCGA